AGCCTTCGTATGTGCCTAGTAGTCACTATAAAAGTATTCTATTCAATCATATCTAAATGGCAACGCTAGTTTTTCGAAACTGAAAAAGTTTTGAAAACGGTGGAAATTTTTCGTAAAACATGATAGTCGGGAGAGGGTTGAGTTTTTTTATCGATAAATTCGTGAAAATATGGCCGTTTTGCAAAAAGGCTACTTATACTTGGAAAGAGGATGCTTCAGTGCGTCTTCGTATGCCAAGAACTCAATTTTGATTTTTTTTTTGAAAAATTGGGCTTTCTATGGGGAGTGAGGCGTAAGCAATCACTATGTGTATACCATTTATGCTGCATAGTCAACAAGTAGAACAACCATTCGATTTGGTTTACTGTTGATTTAGTCGTCCATCGAAATTTGAAGGTTCGGTCATGTTCAGTAAATCAAAAATAAACTACTCAGGTAGATTTAGCTACCTCGTTTTCTGATGTATTGTATTGATCTTGATGATTTGATAATTAATCACTCATATCTATAACAATGTTTTCTTTATGCTATTCTCGATAGTGATAGATTCAATCGTTTTAAAAAATTGAAATCTCGTACGTCTTGACTGAAGGTGTTCACCAAAAATGAAGAAGTCAAGAATCATACGGTACAGATAAGTCACCCGGTTCGAAATTATGAGAAACATGATCAATTAGAGCATGTCTCTGCAGTTTTTGTATTGATTTATAAGTAGAGAGACACTCTATCTTAAATTAATACTTCTATGTGCACTCAACAGATAATACCTGTTGTTGTGGTTGTACTGGTAGTTGTCGAAGTAGTTGTACTACTAGTCGTTGTACTACTCGTCATCGTAGTACTAGTCATTGTTGTATCTGTCGTTGAAGGTTGAATAGAAGACAAAGATAATAAATAAATTATGAAAATTTCAAGTCATATTCAAACTTGAAGTAGTGGTCATTGCTGTTGTCACTAAAAATCTCAGAATTAATTTTTTATTTAATTTTCACTAATTTTCATCTCTCAAGTTACCAGTAGTGATTCCAGTTGCGGTTGGATGTGACTGTGTTGCTATGAAAGGAAGAAGGAAAGGCTGTTTATATCATTACAAACATAACGAATTTAAACAATAACAATGGTAACACTTGACAAGTACGCATTAAAAAACTTTTGAAAGTTTCGGATCTATTCGTTTAACAACATGAGAGTTCGCTGAAAGTGTTGATTCATAAAATTGGGCTGCATGTGAAAATTAAAATAATGAAGTGTGAACATTTTGCGATTGTAATGAAAACCTACGAAAGAAGAATTTGCCGATCATGGTC